AGACTAAACAACTGCAAAAGCAACAGGAGCAAAGCTATCTAGGATGATGGGCCTGGTTGGAGTCGGGAGAGGCAGCGATAAGGCTGAAGGAGAGATGCTAGATCTAACCTTACTGACTTTGTCCACAAAGAAAGACAGAAAGTTCTCACAGTCTGTAACAGAGTGGATGGAGGCTGTAGGAGAGGCAGGAGAGACGATGCTGCTGATGGTGTTAAACAGCACCTTGGGGTTCCCTTTGCTCTGGGACACCAGGTTGGAAAAATAGGAAACCCTAGCATCTCTGACTGCAGAGTTAAAGGATGTCAGAAGATCCTTTAGGTGCAGCAGACGGACGTGGAGATGGGTTTTCTTCCACAAGCGCTCAATGTTTCTGCATTGGCGCTTCAGGCTGCGAAGGCTGTCATTAAACCAGGGAGTAGGGTTCACTGCAGGACCTGATCTGGTTCTGACAGGACAGATGTTGTCCAGAATGGAGAGGCAGTGCTCGTTAAACTGAGAAGTTAAGGAATCTGGGTCGTTATCAGAAGAACAGGGTGGATCAAAAGCAGCAGAAAAATTGCTAGCTGCGCTCTCAAAATGAGAACTAACCATACGGCGAGCAGGAGGTGGGGACGCAGAAACTGACAAGTTAAAGAAAATGCAATGGTGATCTGAAATATAAACGTCCTCAGGACAAACACTGTCAACATTTAGACCCAGGGTAAAAGCAAGGTCTAGAGTGTGCCCCATGGTGTGTGTGGGGCCAGAAACATGCTGGGTAGAGCTGAAGGAGTCCATAAGGCTGGAGAAATTCATGACAAAGTGATCAGAGGGATCATCAACGTGGATGTTAAAGTCACCAACAATCACCAGTCTGGACAGCTTCACAGTGGAGGACAGAAAGTCACTAAACTCCTGAAGGAAAGAACCGTTTGGACCAGGTGGACGATAGACCACAGCACAGTAGAACGGGTCCTTACGCCCGACTTTAATCAGCTGCAGTTCAAAGGAAGCAAAGTGACCAGAGGTTGTAGAGCTACGTGGAAGATGGTCTCTGAAAACAACAGCTAGGCCTCCACCACGACCAGAACCCCGGGGCTGGCTAAGAAAAGAATAACCACTCGGGCAGAGTTCAATCAGAGCAGAATAGTCAGATGTTTGCTGCCAAACTTCAGTCAGAAACAGAAAATCCAGGTTTTTAGAGAGAATTAGATCACTGAGCAGGAAGGACTTATTGTTAACAGAGCGGGTATTTAATAGAGCCATGCTGAGTGAGGTGGAGGAATCAGAAACTACACAAACAGCTGGAGTTAGTGGACGTAAATTAGCAGGGTTAGATCCACGGTGTTTATAAAAACCACTTATGGAGGGAACAGGAGGAGAAACCACTGAGGAATGAGGATAAACCGACCTTAAAAAACTTGGACGGATGAACCACGCTGCAACGCGGCCTGGCGGGAATGCGGAAGTGGCGCTCAGGTCACCAAACAAAGGACAAGAAGCTAGAAGATCACTCCGATGTTTACTAGATAAACCACGCTTTAAGAGAAGTCTTATTCTCACCTGGATTCCTGCTCGTTTACCTCTTTTCCTCCGACATTTTCCCGGGACCGGATAAACATAGCCGGAGGCGGGCAGCTCGGGACCGTTGTTTGGCTCCGGGCCAGTGCGCCACTCAGGTAAACAAACAGGATGGTACGTCCTCGGTGTATCTTGGGCGATCGTGAACGAACGGAAGGACAAAAGAGTCTGGCGATCATAGGAGATGGTAGCAGGGACACTACTGAAGAGGATCGCAGACAGGAGCAATGTGGAAAAGAGGAGGTTAGTGGAGAAAAGTTTGAAAAAGTGGCCAGTGACTGCGGCTAAGCCAAGCACAGGCGCCATCTTGTTGCCGACCGTAAGCGGAAGTCAACATTAGCCTTTGGTGAGGCGCTTACCCAATAGGAAAAGACAGACTCCAGGACGGAGTGCAGGTCATCAGGAGGCCTGCTACCGGACTCAGCTCTTGACCTTGGAGCAGCAGGGCTGTGGTCGGCATGGTTGTGGCGTAGCGAATAATGGTAAGGGCAAGGGAGGCGGTCACCTGGGTGGGACGACCCCCTTCCCTTTAAGACTCCATCCTCAAGCACCAACGTGCAGAACGTGGGCTCCTTTTTGTACTCGCTGAATTTTCAGCAGAGAGGAAGTTTTTGAACCAAGAAGGTTTCGGATACTTCAACCCCAGATACTGCTTCGTGGACTGTGACTTTGGAGATGCTCGTGACAGAACGTTTTGAGCCTCGGTCTCAGAGGGGTCTCCTTGGACCAAAAAAGAGGTCTCAGCCTGGGAAGCCGAACCCGTAGAGGACTCTTGAGCCCCATTCCCATCTGTACCGGGTCGGCCCGGGCCGGGTAGCGTAGGTTGTTTACATATCTGGGTGGCCTGGTATTTTTCCGGGCCAACCAAGGCTCATTCTCGGCCCTCTTCCCGAGGGGTACTGCTTCAGGCCGACCAGGGCCAACACACCCACTGCTGACAGCAAATTCACACCTTCCATTAGAGCAAGCCTCTGATTGGTGGGTAGAATAAGCCCACATGGGCTTAAGACAAGGATGTGTGGAATCAACCGGGCCAGGCTGGGGCCGACTGGGGCTACCCGGCCCGGGCCAACCCGGTACAGATGGGAATGGCCCATAAGGGGTCAGTGATGTAAGGAGTATTCCTTCTGAAAACATTACCTGCCATTTTTCTCAGTTGTACCATGGTTGTTTTTCCCTCATCAACGGCGCTCATTTGCACGTCTATGGAAGGATCTAGATTCTCAAGAAGTTCTTTCAAGTCGCCATTTTCTTCCATACCCGGTTTATTTTGATGACTAAAGAAAGCATGGAAAATCCGTCTGTAGAAGAGATGTGGATCTTCAGACGGAAGCCGTTTGACATGGTCTTAAACCTGTTGTCTTTGCTGTACCTGAGAATTCCTCCTTCAAAGCTTCACAGAGGAGAGAGTAGTGACTATTGACCTCAGGCAGTTGGCCATAAAGGAAATCACTCGCCACAGTGGAAGAGGTGAGCCTGATCAAGAAAATCTTATCAGAAATAGAAGTGGTTGGAAACCGTTCAAGGTGACAGTCAATCTCCCTAAAATATAAAATATCAAAATTCTCCCCGAGTGTGGGCTCAAAGTGTGAAATAAATTCAGCCATCTTTTATAAATCAGCTGATGTGAGTGGAGGTGAAGAGGATTCCAAGTGTTAACACTCAAACTGTACATCGTCTGATCACCTGTACTTCCTGTCATATGTTGGACAGCTCCTGTTTCATTTCAAGTCTCATTTCAGTGAGAAAATCCATCAACAGTTTATCTCGGTCTGCAGCCATCCTAAGGACGCCACAAAACCTTTAATTTTGGAAAGAATAGAATGGATTCAATAGTTGTTAGAGACTGAAAAGAGATTTAATGAAGCAACCGCATTAAAACACACCAGCTGGTGGCGGTATCGGGAGGGTAGGAGGAATTTGGGAAAAGTAGAAGAGAAGATTACGTCAATTCCTTCTTCAGAATCAGAAGTTTTTATTGCCATATGTGTGCCAAGTCACAACATTAGGAAATTGCTGCGGTATTTTGGTGCAGAAGGTAAGATAGAAAAAAATTAATTAAGAGATAAGCAAATATAAGAACTAATAAAACACTCATGATAAAATTATTAATGTAAAAAGTGGCAAGAATTAGAGAAGCAGCTATCTACTCCGTGTAGGTATTAATCTGAGTATTTGTTGAATGGTTCTAGCACAGCATCGGGTCACGGGACTGGGACCCATCAGGATTTTCATTCAAAAGTCCAACTGCAGAGGGGACGAAACTGTTTTTGTGGCGAGAGGTTCTGGTCCGAATGGATCTGAGCCTTCTGCCAGATGGGAGCGAGTCGAAGAGACTGTGTCCAGGGTGAGACGAGTCAGCTATTATCCGACCTGCACGCCTCAATGTCCTAGAGGTGTACAGATCTTGAATGGAGGGGAGTTTGCAGCCAATGACCTTCTTTGATGATAGGGCAAAATGGCGTGGTAATCGGATCGACGCGGCTGAATTAAATTAGAGGCTCAAATGCGACGGATTGATTAGCCAAACTGTACCCTGAGGGAATTCTGAGTTGATTTGCAGTCCGTCAGGAGGAGGACTGAAGAAAAACGTTGTTTTGGGATCAGTTTATGGCATAAACACAGCAACCATACTTTCTTGACAATCATCATTATGTGCAGAGAAAAGTGTAAAAACAAAAAAGAAACATTGCTGGTCATGAGGTGTTAATCGCCTTGCGTAACATCTTGTATACATGATGCATGACACAAACCTCTCCCCAACCGCAAACATTTTCACATAAGAAAATGGTCATAAAATCAGTGTACACCCGGCTTTAACAACAACTCAGTCAGTAAACAAGAGTGACCCAGACGTTACTTATCGTACCCCTAGGAAGCTACGGCAGCCTTTTGTTTTCGGGTGAAGCAGACTAGAGGCTAATGTTGAGCTAACAATGCTAACGGTGAATTGGAAGCAAATAGTCGGCTCTAAAAACATCTCTAGCTACTTCTTCGATTACCAACATCTGGATTTTAAAGTGAAATAAATGTGTGAAGTGAATGAGGTCATCGTCTTACTTCCTTTAATGAGTCGTTCAGAACTACAACAGCAAGACGGCAGAAAACTGCACTTCATTTCAATGTTGGACAACTATTACTGCAAGTGTAGTAATGCTCCCTACCGAAAAACACCCAAGTGCTAACATCAGATATGACCCGTAGATGATCTGCTTAGCTTACTGTGTACGACTCGTCTTTGCTTGTCTAGAATCTTCTGGTGCCCAGTCGTAACTGGAAACCGTCGATCTCTCGAAACGGGAGTGAGAAAGTTTTATTTTTTTTTAGAAAACTGGACTGCAGTACCCAAATTTGACCACAGAATGTCTCTTACATACTGCACCTTTAAACTATTGCTGTAAGTTTTTTTTTATATTTTAATGCCACAAACAGAAACTATGCACAGGAATAAAAAATTTATTCTCAAGAACAAAAAAATAATTTTATCTGTTTTTTTTTTCTTTTACAATAATTAAGCCTGAAATAAAACACAAAACACTAGTTCAGGCATTGCAAATATATTTAACAAAATAATCACTTTAAACATTTGTCTTAAGAAACAGATCTGTACATCAAGTGTTTTACAAAGCACATCAAGATTCAAAATGTACAATATTTACTCACATTTTTTACAAATAAAACCTCACTGGGTTTCTGCTACATTTAAAACTTTGCAGTTCCTTGTGTTTGAAGACGATCCAAAGACATTCCAGCTTTGAAATGGCTAGTATGCTGCTAGGCAACTTTCAGGAGCTCTAAACACAGTTCCAAAATGATTCATGAGACAGAGGAGGTGCGAGGCTCTGCCACTGGGTCAGCCTCTCTCTACTCAGCAGGACCTCATCTCTCCTCCCTGCTCCCTTAGGACTCGGTTTCCAGTCAGTCTGTGTCCACATGGCAGGGATTGGTCCCCTGCAGCTGTGCCTGGTGATACAACCGCAGGAAGTCTTTGTAACGCGGGGCGCAGCCCATCCAGGCCTCCCCAAACCTCACCGTCCCAGTGAAGAGGAACTCCCCCTCTCCAGACTTCACCTTACACTGCAGGGGCATCTTAATGTTACCAGTCCAGCTACGGACCCTAACACCTCCAGGCGCAAAGACCTGGGTCTTCTGTCTGTGGAGGCGACTGATCTCCACGGTAACAGAGGCGTAGTCATCCTTCTGATCCACATTCCTAATGCTGCCTCGTGCCACTGGAAAAATGAAAAAAAGATTTAGACTTTGAGTCGAGTTTCATACAAACAAAATGGTGTTTTTGTTGGACTTTCCTGCCACCTTCTTCCAACAGGAAACTTGTGATTTATGACTCGGCTGGAACTCACCAAAGTCGTTTGTGCAGACTTCTAGAAGCATCTCGGCATCACTGCAGGGCTGACAGGGTGCTAAGGAAATAAAAAACAGGAGAGATAAGTCAAAACTTCAACAGAACTCACTTCTTTGGCGCCTTCTTTCAACACTGGTGATGAAAAACACTGCTGGCAGGCCAACGATGCTAAACTCAAGCTGTGACTTGGCCAAACAAAACATTAGTGACAGAATTTTCCATCCTGACAGATGAGCGTTTAACTACGACGAGCTAGGGATGTTCATAGGTAACCAGTTCATTTCCATTAATGTCGTAACACCCGGTTAACTGCTTCAGGTCCTTCTGCTGCTCTTGGGTGTAACATGTTTTGTGCCACTAGAATGTGCAAGAGCACCACCATCAAAATAGAATAGAATTGAATAGACTAACTTAACAAAGAGCACAGCGTGGGAGCATTTTGCTTCTGGTAGTTAACACAATGAGTCCCACATCGAAGCGCTGAGCCTGGCAGAACGTGGAAATGAAGTGGCGCAGCAAAATGAACCGAGACCAGAAACAGGGCAGTGTCTGCCGTGATGCTTTGCATCCGCCTCCTAACGCCTACTGCACACTGGGAGCAAAGGCGGTGTGGAACGGCAGCGGAACGACTTACTCCAGACAATCACAGCACTGAAGTGCACAACGGGAGAGTCTCAGCAGTGAAGCGGCTTCTCTGCCGTGCTCCTCGCGAGATCACAAAATCCTTCGAGACTTTCGCCAACCTCGTCGCGAGATCACACGATCCCTGGAAACTTCAGTTTGTTTTTGCCCTCCATTATTAAACCAAAGAGGCAGAAATGACGTTTTATATCGCTGTTTGATGTCATATATGATGTAGTTCCTCTCCACCACCAGGCTTAAAGCCATGAAATCGCACCGCTGCACTTCTGGAACAACGCTGTGAGTAAATAAGCCGTTAGGTCACACGTAGGTTTCATGTACATCATTACTGCAATACTTTAATTTTGAAAATTACCGGGGATTTTACACTGAAACCGTGTGTGATTTCCTGTCTAGCCCTATGTTAACTGCAGTAATTGACACATCCCAGAAGCGACTCACGGAAAAAATAGAACCCGATCCCATCTTTAGCGGCGCATCGCGGCTGGTTTGTTACACTCCGTTGACTTTAATGGATTCTCTTTAAAGCGGTGCCGTTTTGCTGCCAGTGTGCAGTAGGGGCAAGAGTAAATAAAGAAATGTCAGTGTAATTCTTTAGTTCAATGTAAGGGATCTAAAGTGTTTTCATAAATGCGCTTATAAGCAGCGCTGCGTGTTTGATGTCTGACGGCCCACTGCACAACAGCTCCTGACAAACATTTCATTCATTTGGAAAACGTGCATGCCTACGACGAGCTGTGCATCTTAAATGAATACCAAGAAAAGCAGGCTGGTGCTCATCACATATGATGAACTGTGGTGGTGGGACTTGTGGCTCTTTAAGGGAGCGGTTACCTTCTCAGAAGCCTCGTGATAGAGTGTCCGCCCTGGGACTGGGAGAACCCGGTTCAAATCCATGGTCAGGTCATACCGAAGACTTGAAAAATGGGACCCAATACCTCCCTGCCTGACACTCCGCTTTAAGGGTTGGACTGAGGAGTTAAACCACCACATGGTCCCCGAGTGCAGCCACTGCTGCAGCTCACCACTCCCACGGGGATGGGTCAAACGCAGAAATGTAACTTCACCAGTGTGACGAACTTTAAAGTCAAAACTCTTTTGAAGGAAGCAGAGCGATCCCCATGGGGAGGGGGGTTACAGATGTATGTGTTAAAGGTTCTGAACAGCCACGATCTTGTCACTTGAAGACCAAAAGTAAAAATAAAGGCCTCTGCTGAGAACTCTCGCCTCAAGCAACGTTTCTTCTTTCTGCTGCAGAGAGGTGACCCACCTCTGGACGGCTTCATAGCGCAGAGATTAGTCGACTCAGATGAACCTGCGGCTGGCTGAAAGCTGATGTCTTTACTAGCTAAAAGGTCTGTTTTCATTATTGGTGAATTAGGACTCAAAAACAGGTGTGGAGAATAAGGAGGGGGATATTGGCGAGCAGTGGGAGGAACACAAGTGAGAGGGTGTCTAAAAATGTTAGCGCAGATGGATCATGAGCACAGGAAACCATGCAGGACTGGTTTAACCAAGCACGAAGATTTATTCAACTAAAACACACACATAGAAGAAAGAACTCTTGGTAGAGTGGAGGACTCAAACCACCTTGTTTAGCAGATCAAGCTTATTTTCAATTCTGGCTTTAAAAGCCCAGAGGTCAAAGGTGAGCCTGAGAGAGGTACAAATACAAGGTCTGCTACATCACCAAAGAGGTCAGGAGGTCAACAAGCCTGAACAGCGCACCAACAGCTGGACAGATGGACCAGAAAGCAGACCTGACCCTGAGCAGAACAAAACCAGCAGCCAGGACATCAGGCGGAGAAGCGAGCCGACGCCTGAACCTCCGAGTGTTTGCTTCTCTACAGAATCAGCGCAGAGCCAGGCTCACATGCGAAACATAAAACAGAACCGCAGGAATGGGCCGGGAGCCGAGTCAGCATCTCTTCCTGGCTCGTGCACACGCAGCCCCACTCTGATCAGAACCACTTCACAGGAGCAGAGAGGGGGACGGGAGGGGTGCATTAATGTGTCCCTGCAACATCTGGGTCCAGATGCATTCCCCGGTAATGGAGCAAAAACGTGCTTATACCACTCCGCGAGGACAAAAACCACTTCAGTCACCCAGGAGGACAGAACAGGAAGATTTATGAAGGGAAGAGGAATGAAAAGAAAATAGCAGAGTGATAAACAGGCATCATACAAATCAAGCAGTAGGAAACGGTGTGGGATGGGAAAAGGGAGATTATTATGAGCTGAAAGAAGGGCAGGGGGAGTGAAAAACAAGCCTATATGCTCCTAAAGGTTCCTCCCAACATCTGGTTGGAGACTCATTCCAGCGTGTTGGTGAGCAACTCGATCCCAGCGCAGCAGGTCAGACAGAGGAGCAAGGAAGAAATATACTAAAAGAAGAAAAGCAGGCATCAATCCACCCCGCCAGGCCTCGCATGACACGAGACCACCGTCTGTGAGGATCACCTCAGCGCTAGCTCACTAGCTTACAGCGCCGATCCGGCGGCGCACTAACGCGGTCCCAGCAGCAGAGCCTCTGGTCCTCTCATAACCCTCTCTGCCGGGCCAGATTATGATGCAGGATGTGGATATGTGAAGCTGGAGAGTCGTAAAAACACACGTGGGGCCGACACGGCTCACACTGCTTTAGGTGGAAAAAACAACACGGCTGCTTGTTTGGTTGCGCGGCTTGAAGCTGTTCAGGTCTGGCAGGTACGCAGTGTGTAAACAGATGGCTGGTTTTGAGTGGGAGCTTTATGTTTGGCCTTGCCCCTTCTCACACGAGCCGGTGTAGGTCTGATCAGAATGATGCGGTTGTGAAATTCGCTGAGTTTTAACACAGATTATCCCCCAAAACTCCATTTTTATTAAGATTTATACATCTTCTGGAGTTTTTATTTTTTCAAAACCATGTTGACTTTGGATTTAGTTTTTGTAGACTGCTGTGCTGAACGAGTTTCCAACTCCGAGTCCAACGTAATAAAGTTTCCACCAGTAAAGGGCTGTATTCAGTGTCCACAGAGCTTAATTTGGTAAAATAGGAAGGATTACACAGACCCAGATTAGCACAGCACACACGCACCATTAGCTGCATCTTACCAGAAGGCGAGAGTGCCTCCGCTCTCAGCTTGTCACTGACCAGCTCGTACTGGAACGCCGTAATCCGGCGGCTGATGTCCATATGTTGGACGGCCTCGATGAAGAGTGCTCCCTCCTGCATGCTGAAGCAGTGAACCTTCCCCTGAGCCTGATCCTCCTCGCGCAGCAGCAGCCGCAGCCTGCCGTTGCGGTCCAGGTAGATGTTGGTGCCGGTGGAGTCCTTGGAGGGTTTTATGCAGACAGAGAGGCGGGCAGAGGCGGGGGATATGGTGTTGGGTCGGAGGTTGACGATGATGGCCCCGGTGGGGTAGAGCCACTCCAGAGAGCCTTGTGAGCAGCGTAGGTACACCTGTTCCACATCCCTGGTGTGGCCTTCATGGGTCAGACCACTAGAGGGGAAGAAAACGTCAAAGGAGGGGTTTTAAAGGAGGACTTCAATAAATAAGAATCAGTAAATAAGAATGACGAGACTTTCTGGTGATTTGGGGGCTGACTTATAGCGACGTGGAGAAGCCATGTAGACTGCAAGCGCACTAGGCCTCATTCCTCCTGAAGCATTAAGGCTGAGCGCAAGACTGGCTGCATGACCAGTCATGAGCCAGAGCAGCCAAAGTGACCTCAGCACCAATGCACTCCCCAGTACCACACTGTTCCCCCCAGAGCTTTGGCACTGCGCACTGCTGGCAGGCTGCCTTTGGGAAGAGTTGGGAGGCAGAAATGGATGAATGGAGGAACACAGGCGCTTCTGGGGAGACAACAGCAGCAACAGTAGCCGGGCCTGCCGCATGCAAGTGCAAATGCTGGTCACGCACTGAACCTCCCCTCGCTTTCAAGCCACCAGAAAGAGTGGAAGAGACTCGTCCGGGCAGCACTTCGGACTCTGGCGCCAGCATGACCAAACGACTCCTTCCACAACTTAATGCCTGGTCAGGGTTTTTAAAACTCCACACTGTGTCAGTCATTCTGTGGCAAGGCCAGAGGCAGGAAGCCACGGGGAGGTGCATGCCAAACTGGTGGTTTGACTCTGGAGGAGAAACGCCCAGTTTACTGAAGAATGAGATGCTAGAATTCAGATTAGCCACAAATCTAAAGTGAGCCATGGCACATGCTGAGCAGATGCAGCCGAGGCCCCATAACCAGGCTCACCTCAGCACGCCTCTAATTAAGTCCTATCTAACTCCATCACTTCTGCATGCAATTAGGACATTATGCCAGCATCTCACTAATGAAGAACAGATTATTGGTGGAACAGTTCAAAGTGTGGCCTGCCCCTCCTGGTTGGTGGAGGGGAAGGAAAAGGGGGAAAATCTAACCAGATTTCTGCAGATGTTTGATGATGGAACGATCCAAAGTGTGCTGCATACATGTAAAATCCTCTGCGTGTCTGCAGTTGATTTAATCTCTTTTGGTTCATTCAGCAGCTTATATGAAACATGTGTTGAGATAATATGATAACACTGGAAGAATAGGGTGGATTACATGATAAATAAGTAGCCTTTAATTTGGAATTTAAAATATTTGTTAAAGTTTACATTTTACCAAATCACAACATAATCATAAATATGCAGCCATTTGAAAATGTTATTTTAACTACATATATCCTTTTATTCAAGTCTATCTGAACGGTTTGGGTGCGTTTCGGTCAGCCATCCCAGCTCTCCCTCTTTATCGTTTCCAGCTCGTATCTAATCAGTAAACTCCTGGAACCTCACCTGCCCTTCCAGCTGCACTGGTCGCTTGAGTACTGGCAGACACAAATCCGACAGAGAAGCAGCAGCGGCAGAAATGAGGCCAGCATCGGGCCGAGCGTGTTCATCTCGCCTCGCTTCGCCTCTTCTCTCGAGTGAAACTATCAAGTCCGCCGCCGTTTTTCCAGCCGCATCGTGTTTCCATGAGCCCCAGTCCGCTCCGCGCTCCCCGGCCTCTCTCCTTGTGCTCGTGAGCCGCTCCAAGCAGAAAAAGGTGTTGTTGTTTTTCTCAGACGGAACCGAACCGAACCGAAGCGCTGTGAGCGTGATGAACTCTGGAAACTGAACTGACTTCAAGTCAGTCTTCAGCAGCGCTGATTGCGCCTACGTCACACTCCGTTCGGCTGGTGCGTTCAAGTGTTCAGATCAGGCTCGGATCCTACAGCTTCATAGTGTTTCAGCTTTTGTTTTAAACGATTTCAACTCTTTATAAATATATGAAAGAAAATATTTAAATGTATAAAATAATATAAAGAGAGAGAGAGAGAGAGAGAGAGGGAGAGAGAGAGAGAGAGAGAGAGGGAGAGAGAGAGAGAACAAGTTTAATGAAGTGGCTTTAGAAATACGTTTTTGAGTCCTTATGAAATAAAGTTATGTTTTTCATCGTATAATTTAAAAAATGCTTATAATTGTTGTTTTTAAAGTTAAATTAACGAATAATAGTGTTTTTATTATTAGATGGTGAAATATTTTACCTTTAAATTTGTCTGTTAAAACGACCATTTTATTCGATACAGTGTTAGCTGTTTAGTAATTGCGAGAGTTTTTTTAAACACAGTGTGTGATGAAAAACTGATGTTTGGCGCTTTAGGAGTAAATAGAACCTTTGTCTGTAACGTTGACTTGCTAATTACTATTTCTGAGTCGCCTGAGCTAGTTGCTTGACTGGTTTTACAACATTATGGGAAAATTACGACAGCTAGTGAAGGCAGCACTAAAGTTTCTGTGAAGTCCAAGAGTCCTTCCCTGCTGCGTGTGTTAGTCATAAGGAAACTGTGTGGCTGGAGCACTTAAACTATTATTGGACACATGTGATTCCATAAATCTTCTAGATCCTTAAGAAGGCGTTGTTCCTCCAAATCTGGAATGGATGATGTTCTACGATGCCTCTTAGAAACTTTTTAACCATCGTGTCTTTTCTCAAGTTAGTTAGTTTAGTTTATTTGTCATATGCAAGTTAGCACAGGGTCAACATTGCAATGAAATGTGTTTGACGAGCAGCGGTCTCTCAGCAGCATAATACAATAGAGAAAAGAACAAGGTACAATACAGTAAAAGCAAAAAATTAGAGAGTCGTGCTAAAAGTAAAAGCTTACTAGATAAGTAAGTATAGATGACTAAATATAAATATATCTGAAAAAAGAAAAAAAAGTGAATAGTAACATTAAAATGAAGTAACCAGTGCAGGTTAAATTTTACTTGTGGAGCTGCAGGGTAACATCTGTATCCTGTGTTGTGTGTGTTTAAGTGTAATGGTTGAGGTGTCGTATGGCTTGGTGGTAGAAACTGTTTTTAAGTCTCGTAGTCCGTGCAGGCAGACTCCTGTAACGCCTGCCAGATAGTAACGAGGAGAACAGCTGATGCGCTGGGTGGCTGAGGTCCTTGATGATGCTGTGTGCTTTCCGGAGGCATCGCTGGAGATAAATGTCCTGAATGGCAGGAAGCCTTGTGCCAGTGATGTGCTCTGCTGCTTTCACCACCCTCTGTAGTGATTTACGGCTGCTGGCAGAGCAGCTTCCATACCAAACTGTGATGCAGCTCGACAGCAAGCTCTCAATAGCACACCTGTAGAACTTTGAGATGATACTCGTGTTCATGCCAAACTTCCTTAGCCTCCTGAGGAAGTAAAGCCGCTGGCGAGCTTTCTCGATAACAGCGTCTGTGTGGAGGGTCCAGGAGAAGTCCTCAGTGATGTTGACTCCAAGGAACTTGAAGCTGCTGACCCTTTCGACCATGACACCGTTGATGTGGATGGGTTGGTGTTCCCTGACTGGTCGTTTCCGGTAGTCCACTATCATTTCTTTGGTTTTGCTGATGTTGAGAGACAGGTTATTATCCAGGCACCACTCGTGCAATGCCGTCACCTCCTCTCTATAGGCCGTCTCATCATTCCCTGTGATGAGGCCTATGATGGTCGTATCATCCGCAAACTTGATGACGATGTTGGACTCATGTTTTGCAACACAGTCGTGTGTGAACAGGGAATATAGGAGGGGGCTAAGCACACAACCCTGGGGTGTACCTGTGTTTAGGATGAGTGATGAGGAAGTGTGTTTACCCACTCTCACCACCTGGGGCCTGTTTGTAAGGAAGTTTTGAATCCATCCAAGGCACAACATGTTGGTGTTGGAAACAATCAGTGAGCAAAATCAAGATATTTTAAATCAAATTATGCCCGTTGTTTTTTCTAAAGAAAAACAGTATGATCAATTGTCAATAAAAGACATTTAGTTGACAACTTAATTTTGATGATGGACCTGGCAGCCTTTTCCCCTTACAAAAGTGGAATACATTTTCTTGTAGTTCTCTGTGGTTATTTAATAGTTTAATTGTTCCATTTGCTGATATTTAGGAGGTAAAATGAGTTAATTGCAGATCAGCGGTGGTTTGTTGCTCATGTGACCACAGAATTCTGCTAACACAAACATGAAAGAATAAATCAATCAAGACTGCTGCTCAAATAAACATTAACTGACATTTGCACAACATCAGTGACTGATGTTCCAACCCAAATCCATTCTGCAGTGGGATTCTGCAAACCGCAGGCTGGAAATCCCAAACAGCCTTCTGGCCAAACAATAATTACAGACTTTTCTGTTAAATCACTGACACATTATCAATATATTTTGACAACAGATCTGCAACTTAATAACAAAAGAACCCAGAGTTGCGTCTAAAGTTTGCAGTGAACACACCTGAACATGTCAGTTTTTGCAAGACTTGTGTTTTGTAGTAAAACAAGAGCTGCAGGGACTTGCAGAGCGGTAAGGTCCGTTAGCACTAGTCGCATCTGTAAACAGACATGACTCATCAATCAAGTCATGAATCCTGGGTTATGATTTCTTACGAAGGAAACTTTTTGTTATGTGGACGACTTTTGGCATGGGAAAGAAACCTGTCTGACAAGGAAACCCAGAGCATTTTGTAACAGCTACTCTTCTACTCTGGTTTCCAAATCAGTTGCGTCCCATTAGTGGTGTCTACTGGCCCAACAGGCTCCGTGCATGTCCAGACCTGGGCAGCAAGCCACCAAAAGCTCCAGAAACCTCAGATTCAACCAAAGACGGGGCTTTGATTTGACTTCGAGGTTACATGTGTGATAAAATCCCACAAAGCCTCTGTTGTTTCCAGACATTGAGCAAACTTTTAAGTGTTGTTTGTGTGATCTAGATCGTAACTTTGGTTTGGGAGAGGTTGCTTTGGTTTTTATCTTGTTTGTACCACATCACAGGTAGTCTGGGAAGGTTGTTGATGAGGTAACAGAACCACAATACGTGACCACAGTACGTGTTCAGGCAGGCTAGACAAAGGTCCATCTCAATGACACCTGCAAGATATTTAAATATAACAGAGTTTAGTTCAAATGAACACATAAAATCTAAAAATAACATGTTTGCAAGTGAGGTATGGGTTTTGTACAGGTCTCAGCTGGACATTTAATTGATAAAATGCACAAACAAGTAAATTTACCTCAGAAAGGCACAGAGTAGCAATAATATCTTCTAGCGCATATGGACTAAAGGTTACACAACTAAGTTGTCTGTTTTTTTTTTTTCCCAGCGGAGTAAATTACCTCCATCTTGTTTTTACAGTTGCTGCCAAAGTTCGTTATTTTCTCATCACAGCTTAAAGGAGGCAGGTTCAGCTCTCACTCCTCACCTGTTAGGAGCCTCACTGCTGCTGGTGCGTGTGTGCGTGTGTGTGTGTGTGCGTGTGTGTGTGTGTGTGTGTGTGTGTGTGTGTGTGTGTGTGCGTGTGTGTGTGTGTGTGTGTGTGTGTGTGTGTGTGTGTGTGTGTGTGTGTGTGTGTGTGTGTGTGTGTGTGTGTGTGTGATTCAGAAAGAAAGTTAATCAGATGGTGAGCTCTGTTGTTGGCTTTAGGGTGAATATTTACAAAGGAACAGTGATTTTTAGCCCACAGAGTGCAGCAGAAAGTAGAGGATTAGTGTGTTTTGTAATTATGTGCCCGAGCATAGAGTGGTGCAGAAGTAGTGAGGAGGGGCAGGCCACTGAAGTGATTGGGGGAAGGGTTTGTTCTCCCTCCGTTTCTGTATTTTTGTCAGGCCTGTTGTCCCAGACTCCTGCTGAGCGTGACTTATGCCCAGAGGAAGCCTCCAGGTGAAAAGCAGCCAGAAAAAAAGATAACCTGCTGACAAGGCATGAGTTTTATATGTGGTTCTTTATTTTGTTTATTCCTCCCAACGTTTACTCATTTCTTACTTTTTACCTGCAAATAAAAAGAAACTTTTCCAATTTAAATATTTCATTTGGAATTAAATAGTTTAGTTTATAGTCTACAGTTAGACCGAAACTGATCCAAACATACCATTTGGTCATTTTCTCTTCTCGTAGTGCTAATTTCAACAGTCTCCCTTTAAAATAACCATGTGCCCTGAACCAAATGGCTCCTCTCCAGAGCCAGCCTCAGCCTGTTTCGTTTATCTCGGTCCGATACTGAACAGTAAACTGCGGTCACACGAGCATGTCCGATATCTTGTGGTATGCAAAGGCAGATTGGAAGGTGCTGATACCATCAAGAGGCCGTCTGCCTGTCATCACCCCCTTCTGGCTGTTGTCCAGCAGTCAGAAATGCAGCTGAGCTCAAAGCTGCATCACATTCCTCTCAGCTAGCAGGTCTGTGTCATGGCCGCTTGTACCTGAAAGCAGGCGTGTGTGTGCTCCATCAAACACGTCCCCCCCCCCCCCCCCCCCCACACACACACACACACCACCACCACCACCACCAGCACACAGACACACACACACACACACACACACCACCACCACCACCACCACACACACACACACACACACACACACACACACACACACACACACACACACACACACACACACACACACACACACACACACACACACACACACACACACACACACACACACACACACACACACACACACACACACACACACACACACACACACACACACACACACACAGTGACATGTTTGAAGAATGCAGCAACTGGCACATCTCACTCAGAATTCCACAAAGATTTTGCAAACCGTCAGAGACAAAGCACGTATTTTGTTTCGAGTCTAATCTCAAGTTGAATAACGAAAAAAAGAGGGA